CATGTTTGGTTTGGAGCCCCGAAGGCTCGGGTGAGTTTTGGATAGGCCACGTTGTGAAAATTGGACTTAGGAAACTGTTGTGTGTTGGAGGTCTTCAGGCTTCGCAATTTCGAAGCCTGGCTCGCAATTGCGAGCTCGCATTTGCGAAGACTGGGCTGGCAGGCTTTGGTTGCAAATGCGACCTTTCCTCGCAATTGTGATGTCGCAAATGCGATAGGTCCCTCGCAATTGCGAAGGTGACCGGAATTTTCCATGGTCGCAAATGCGACAAAATCTTCGCATTTGCGAAGTCAACAGTTTCTGAGGGGTTCGCAATTGCGAACCCTGGTCGCAATTGCGACATCAGAGACCAGTTAATTGAAACTTAGACGCATTTTCAGCCATTTTTCATACCTTCTGAAAACCTAAACACCATTGGGCGATTTTTCAAAGACAACTACTCTTCCAAATCATTTGTAAGTCATTTCTAACTCATTTCTTTCAATCTAATCCATCTTTTTACATAATTTCAACTCAAAATCAAGGGTTTTCATGGGTAAATTGGGTGTTTTGGGTAGAACTTAGGATTTTCGAATTTTGGGGATTTGGACCTCGATTTGAGGTCCAATTTCAAAACAAATTATATATTTGAGTTCGTGGGTAAATGGATAATCGGGTCTTGTTTCGAACCTCGGGTTTTGAGCATGTAGGCCTGGGGTCGATTTTTGAATTTATGGGAAAAATTTAGAAAATCTATTTTCATGCATTAGACTTGAATCCTTTAGCACTTATTGAATTGGTGGTTGTTGCTTTTTGACTTGGCGGGATGTTGTTGAGGTAAAGCGGTAGTTGAGGCTTGAATTGTGTTTCTGGCATCGAGCTAAGTGTTTGGTCTAACCTTAGCTTGAGGGAATATGAGTCGTGTCCTATTTGCTATGTGTTAATTGTTGAGTACGACGTATAGACATGGTGATGAGTATCTATACGTTGGTGTCAAGCATGCCCGTGAGTCTTATACTATGATTAATGTGACTCCGTTTTGTATTGTTCATGCCTTATGTGATGATTTCTATTGTTGAACAAGGCTTGTGAAAGTACTATTGGTGAACATTGAAGAGCGTTGTCTCAAGTTGTAAAGTGAATTGTGGAAGTATTATTGGCAATTAAGCATTATAGAGCATTGGCTCAAGTTGTGAATTGAGTTGTGAAGTAAATGTGAAAAAGAGAAGAGAATTATGATACTGTCTCACTTGCCGGGATGTTGTTGCTTTTAATGCTATCTCCCTTACCGGGATGTTATTGCTTTTGATATTGTTTCCCTTGCCGGGATATGATTGTTGTACTATGGTTCCCATGCCGGGGTTTTTTTGTGATTTTAATGATTCCCTTGCCCTTATTGCTTTGTGATTGTTGTTTGGGTAAGGAAGAGTGTTATAGCACGAAGGGTGATGCCGTGCATGATATTTGTGAGAGAGAGTGTTAATGCGCGAAGGGTGATGCCGTGCCGCACGATGTACAATTCGGTGCCTTTATATGAGTGATAATGCACGAAGTATCATTCCGTGCCATGATTGTGTGAGTTAAAAGCACGAAGGGTGATGCCGTGTCGATTATATTGATTCTTTGGTGAGGACGAGAGTAAAAGCACGAAGGGTGATGCCGTGCACTTGTCCTTGATTTTCCTGATTCTTGCTGATAATTGTTATGGTGTTTTTTACGTTTATTTACTGATTTTCTGTTGTTACTTGATTTTATTGTGATGTTATTGATTTCCGTGCCCAAATTGCTTTGTGATTGTTGCTATGGTGAGGAAGAGTGAAAAGCACGAAGGGTGATGCCGTGCATGTTATTTGTGAGAGTTAAAGCACGAAGGGTGATGCCGTGCCGATTATATATGATTCTTTGGTGAGGACGAGAGTAAAAGCACGAAGGGTGATGCCGTGCACTTGTCCTTGATTTTCCTGATTCTTGTTGATAACTGAGTTATGGTTTCTCTACATTCAACTGTTGGTTTCCTGTTGATACTTGTTGTTCCCCGTAGCATGATTCCCCCTTCCTATCTTTAATTGTAAAGTTTTGCCTTTATTTTCCGCTGTACATGATTTAACTGCACAGGTTTATTTGGTAGTCTGGTCCTAGCTTCGTCACTACTTCGCTGAGGTTAGGCTAGACACTTACCAGCACATGGGGTCGGTTGTGCTGATACTACACTTTGCACTCTTTTGTGCAAATCCCGGTACTGGAGCATACAGACCTTAGCTTTGGGTTGCTGCCTTCAGTCCATTCGGAGATCCGAGGTAGTCTTGCAGGCGTCCGCAGGCCTTGGCGTCTGCTTCTATCCTTTCATTCTGTTTCTTTTATGTATTTCAGAGACATCGTTGTATTTATCTTTCGGACCCTTATTTGTAGTATTCCTAGATAGTCTGTGAAATTGTGACACCAGTTCTGGGTAGTTTATGTTATGGATTGGTATTGGTATCATTATTAAAATATTACATTTCAGTCTTCCGCTTATTAAATTCCGCTGTTTATATGATGTTGGTTCTTAATTGTTAAAGGATTAAAATGGAAAAAAGGTAAATAATACAAATGGTAACTTTCACTAGTAGGTACCATCACGACTCCCGAGGGTGGAAAATCCGGATCGTGACAGTGCACCGGTGTGGTCATGGTTTGGGGGGCCTTTAGGCTATACGGGCTTGTTATGCTATCATATCTTGCTATCCCCGTGTTTTCCCTACTTGTTTAATCATTTGAACTGTGATTTATGTTAGACATCTTGTTTAGGCTAAGGGCTATTTGATGGAGACTTGAGAGGGATATTCTTATTGTCTCATAGCTGTATGCTTTATTTGTACTCATGTTCTCAGTCATGATGCTATATTCGTGTATGATATCTGTGTCTGAGTATTTCTTATTTGATTCCTCACATGTTGTTGATAACTTTTATGTGTAACACTGTTAAACTGAGCATTTTGAGATGTGTTTATCGGAGACATGATAGGTAAATGATTGATTTTGGGCCGTAGAGCCGGTTTGGTATTAATTTTGAGGTGTGCGTACGCCAGGCTCATATTGGGCTAAGTATTATTGTTTGGGGCGACATGTGCACCGGGCCTCACTACTAGGCTAAATGATTTTGCTTAGCGCTTGGGCAGGATTCGCCCCTCCGGAGTGTGACATGTCGGCAGTGGGCACAGGCATGTATTTTATATTCGTGCTTGATGATGGACAGTAATGCCATACACCAGTACAATGCTAAATTGTAAATATTTTTATGGATCCACTATGATACTGTTGATTGACATGTATAATTGACATGTAGGCATAGAGATGTACCTTCATCATGCTAACTGATAATTGACCTACTTTATCTGTGTTGAGCTTTAACTGTAATACTTAAAAGCATGTGTAAATTTGAAAAATGTGAACAAGCTGAACGTGATATCCATGAGCTAGTGTTTCTATTGTTTATCCTTTATATTCTAAACTATTACCGGTTATTGGTATTGGCATTTGACTAATGTTCTGAGCTCGTCATTACTTTCAGCCCATAGTTAGCGTTGTTACTTATTGAGTACATGGAGTCGGTTTACTCATACTACACTTCGCACTTCGTATGCAGATCCAGGTACATCCGGTCGAGGTATTTTTAGAATTGAGTTGTTGCCAGCTTTGGAAGACTGCGAGGTAGCCGCCATGTATGCGGTCCTTGAAGTTCTCTTTCTGTTATCTCTATCTTTACTGTTCTTTTGTTCAGACAGTTGTATTAGAGGATTTTGCTTGTATCTTTGTTATTTAGTAGTGCTCGTGTACTCGTTGACACCGGATTTTGGGGATGGTTGTAGCAGTGTTATGGTTTTATTCTTAGATATTTTATTATATTTTTTCGCTGTTGAGTTATTAGACCATATTATTTCGTTTTATTTGTTATCATGTGACTGTTGGCTTACCTACCGGGTTGAGTTAGATGCCATCACGACTTGTGAATTTGGGGTCGTGACAATTAATAACTTTTCATAGCTATTTTTAGTACCATGAGTTAATGGCTAATCGTTGGTAAATATTATCTATTTGTGACTATTTCGATAATTTTCTCACACTTTACCTTCAATATGGGGCTTTTCGGCCCGTTCCAATTCTATTCGACTCCATGTTAATTTCAGACACTGCGTGCGAAAGTAATAAAAATGTAATGAAAAAGTTATCGCAATTTTATTTACTATT